TAAGTAAATATAAACTTATGTATTAGTTAAAGCACTGTTGAGAGTAGGTTACGGAAATTATTGCACGAGGGGCGGTCGAGAGGAAAATGTAGCACGAGGCGAAGCCGAGTGCTACATTTTCATCGAGACCGTCCCGAGTGCAATAATTTCTGTAATCTATGAATCAACAGTGCTTTGATTGGTTTGTAGTTGTGCGTGGGTGGATCAAATGAAATTTCAAAAGTCGCGCAGGTGGCCAGCGCAAGACGATCAGATCTCATTTATCACTATTATTGTTGTTACATGTCTAGTGTATGTAGCCGAGGCTGTTATTTGCCTCTATCAAAGCTTGTGGTTAACAGGAAAGCCCATACATATTATACTGCATAGTACTATACATTCCACACAGTGCTACATTTTCCTACCGTGCGGTTATTGGAAGTTGTAGCACTGGCGGTGCCTTTGATCCGCCCACGCACCATACTACAATTATTTATATTTAATAATTAGGAGTCGATAGTTAGAGTGACTCTTTTATCAAGAACAACCAAACACAGACGAATAGTGAATGAAGATGAAGTAACTACAGAAATTATAATAATAATAATAATAACTACATCATTTTAGTTGATAAAAGCAATGAAAACAGTTGGATATTTCCGGCTACGAGTGGTCGACTACAAATACAGGTGCAACAATAATTTACTATGATTTACTAATAATTTACTAGTAACGCTAGTATACTAGTATTGAAAATTGGCTATAACTCTAATCTTGTAATCTTATCCTTTTCATTTGGCATCTCACTTGTACCTTCATAACATTAATCATTATATACTCCAACTGTCATCATTATCTCATAGTCAGCCTCCAGTCAAAACTTCCTATATCAATAACAATAGCCACACATAATAATAATGAATATAATTATGACACAATTATAATACATTATAGCATATGATCATTGTTGTCTTTAATTGTAGGGATTTCCCCTTTCTTGAACAGATTGAGGTAGTTTATATTTTTGATAATGAAATATTTTAATTTTATTCCTATCTCTATACTGCAGTCTTCACACAACACTGATATATTTATTGGGATGCATGGCTCTGGTCTAACTCACTTACTTTTCCTCCCGGACTGGGGAGCTAT